GGAAGGGAGAGAGATAGAGAGTTAGAAACATCGATGAGAGAGAAACATCGATCAGCTGCCTCCTGCACATCTCCTACTGGGGATGTGCCCGCAACCAAAGTACATGCCCTTGACCAGAATCGAACCTGGGACCCCTCAGTCCACAGGCCGACGCTCTATCCACTGAGCCAAACCGGTTTCGGTCAAACAATATTTTAATATTTAATATTAACACATAAACATATAGCATTAGGTTTTCCTAAATGGATGATTAATGTTTTGTTGTTTTATCTTCTAGTTTCCTGATAGGGAATTTCTCTTGCGTGTGTCTTACATGGAAATATATAATGAAACCATTACAGACTTACTTTGTGACACTCGAAAAATGAAGCCTTTAATAATTCGGGAAGACTTCAATGTGAGTAGCAGAGTTAACAAAGTAGCTCAAAAAAGAGACTTATTTATTGCAATTGTTGTTCTTGAACATTTACCTTTAATTTCTATATTTTTAAGTGCTGTATCTATGGTTTATTTTATTTTTTCTTAAGTGATTATAAAGATCCCTTTTTAAGCAATACATAGTAGCAAAAGTAGGTTTACAGTTGTAACATCTATATAATAAAAGGTTAATATGCAAATGAGTGAACAGCGGAATGACCGGTTGCTATGATGCACACTGACCACCAGGGGGCAGATGCTCAATGCAGGAGCTGCCCCCTGGTGGTCAGTGCACACCCACAGGGGGAGTGCCACTCAGCCAGAAGCCCTGAGCCGTGCTCACGGCTGGTGAGCGCAGCAGTGGTGGCAGGAGCCTTTCCTGCCTTCGTGACAGCTTTAAGGATATCCGACAGACAGCTTCGGCCCGCTCATCATAGAGTGGGCTGAAGCTGTCAGTCGGACATCCCCCAAGGGCTCCCAGACCGGGAGAGAGCACAGACTGGGCTCAGGGCACCCTCCCACCACCCGCTCTGAGTGTATGAATTTCTTGTACCAGGCCTCTAGTAATACAATAATACAAGGATAAATTCTAAAAAAATAAATAAATTTTGTATTTTGTATACTCACAACTATACACCTACTTTTGCCCACCCCTATATGTGTAGTTTTTAAATATTGACAGCTGTAATATATTGACAGCTGTAATATATTGTAATATATTGTAAGTGCCTAAAAAAAGCAAGATGGAAGTTTCAGGTTAGAATTTGGCATGCTTTGATATAGGAAGTAAATTGTAAATATCATAAGTTTACTTGTTATTTTCATACTGTAGTTTTCATTTGCATTTTTAACTTCTAAAAATGTATTCTATCATAGTTCGCACCTTCTTTTTGATATGCAAACTTTTAAGTGTTTTCTATTTCTTTACTCTTCCCATAATTAAACTTGTTTCAGAGGAATGTGTATGTGTCTGACCTCACAGAAGAAGTTGTTTCTACGTCAGAAATGGCTTTGAAGTGGATCAGAAAGGGAGAGAGTAAGACTTTATTCTGTATTTTTTCAAGACATTGTAAAAACGATTCAATTGAATGCATTTAGGCTGCAAGTCACACTTTCAGTTTTAAGCTAAAATAAAAGTTAATTTTTAAAAATTTTGACATACACTGCTGAAATATGACTCATTTTTTACAGAGAATAGACATTATGGAATTACAAAAATGAATCAAAGAAGCAGTCGCTCTCATACCATTTTTAGGATGGTAGGTAATTCTCTATTTGGTCTTTCCAGTTAAGAATGCACTAATTTTTCTACAAGTTTCCTTTTCCTTCTAGATTTTGGAAAGTAGAGAGAAAGGTGAACCTTCTAATTGTGAAGGATCTGTCAAGGTGTCCCACTTGGTGAGTATTGATAAACCATGATAATGTACCTTATAGGCCAAAGCAAAATAGGACTCAGTTGTGGGTTGTTTGGTTTCATAAGGACTGTTAACTGAACTAAATAGAACCATCTATAAATGGTGTTTTAACTAGCGACATATGTAGCATGAAATTGCTAGCTAAAATGTAGGAAGAATTTAGAGGGTCTTTCTTCCTATTATGTATGCTACCATCTCCTAAAATTTAGATGTTAGGACTGTAGGATTTGAAGCTTTCTATGACAGTAATGAAGGGGGGGTTTGTTTTTTTGTTTGGGTTTTTTTTGTTTGTTTTTTTTGTTTATTTGTTTTTCATACACATTTAAGAGTTAACGTAATTTTGGAATGGGTCAGTGTCTTTGTTTTTTGGCTTTTTAGTCTCATCCAATAGAATTAAGACTTGTGCGATAAACAAAAACTTAAGTGGGATGGTTTAAAAATAAATCACATTCAAGTTCATTCTTAAGTAAATAAAAAAATATATTTTATATTATAAACACAGTGTTTTAGACTGTAAATCCCTGGAAGCAAGAGTGATATCTTATTCATCTTGTAGTCCCAACACTTGTACATAGTTTATGTTTGTTCATTTTTAGATTTTGAAAAATCAGTCTTAATTAAATCTAATTCTAGTTTACTTACTTTACCATACAAGTGCGAAGTTTATTTTAGTAAACTAGTCTTGCTTTAATTTAACAGCAAAAACCCTAACTTCTGTTTTGTTTTCCAAACCAGGTCTGTGATATATCACTACATTTCCAACTTTTCTCTTAATTTAGCTTTAATACTCTTGACATGGTCAGTGATCCATTTGATGACTTTTCTCATATTGTTTGATGCTCTCATTTAGGGACCAGAGGTCCCGTCTGATCCAACAACCTTCCAGCCTCTCATTCTTAAGTATCTTCTGGGAAGAAGTCTTCCCCAAAGGATCATTTTCTGACTTTTTATACGTGGCCTTTGAGCATTTCCTAGCCTTTCTGTGATAAGATCCAGGTTTTCTTAGCTGTGTGTCTTCTCTTTTCCCCTGTGTGGCCTCTTTTCTCCTACCCTTCTAACAAAAACACAGGCTGTTCTGTGGCCTTTCTTACTTCCCATGCGTGTTCTCAAACATTGTTATCACTTCTGTGTTAATGATGGCCAAATGTTTATTTTATCTAGAGTCTCTGAGTTCTAATACATGTCTTTCTAATGATTATTATAATCATACTAGGGGCCCATTTCACAAATTCGTGCACCTTGAAAAGAATTGTGGTCTGCGAGGCTGCGGTGGGCACAGGGGCGGGTCTCGGTCCATCCTCCGTGCCCCCTCCTGGCCCCTCCTGCCTCAGCCCCCCCCACCCCGCGGGGCCCCCCAGTCCCCTGTCTGCCAAAAGCCCTGCTCCCATTGCTGGCGCTCCCACACACTGACAGCACCTGTCCCACTCACAACTGCTGACAGTGCGAAGCGAGCAGGAGCCGGTGCAAGCAGGGCCAGCACCGTCAGGGTGTGTCCCATCACTCCTCAGGAGCAGGGGGAGGTGGAGAAGCCTGGAGGGGCAATCAGGGCCAGCAGCCACCACTTGCATCTGCTGACGGTGCCAAGCAATTCGGACCGGTGCTGAGCACCAGCAGTGGGTGTGACGGGGACCCGCGCCAGCAGCAGGTGCAAGTACCAGCTGGACCGTGGCACAGGCAGGATCAAAGAAATTTCAGTAACCACCACAGGCTCTCCCTGATGACAGTCACCGGCACCCTTCTTTGGTCTGGCACCCCTGCTCACCTGTTCCATCATCCTGCTGCAAGCCAACACCTGCCATGTTCCGTGTTCTGCCGCTTGCTGCCAACACCCATCATGTTCCATGCGTGCCCCCTGGTGGTCAGTGTACATCATGGCAACTGGTTATTCGGTTCTGCTATTTGGTCTATTTGCATATTAACCTTTTGTTATATCAGATGTCCCATTCTTGTCTCAAACTTCAGTGTGTCTAAAACCAAATTAATTCCTATTGCAATGAATATTCCTTTTTTCCGGTTGTACCAGCATTATTCTGGTCCCGTAGGCTAAAAACCCAAGTCATTTTGGCTCTCTTTCTGCCTTCCCTTTTATCCAGTTATAACCATTTCTTACTGATTTTATCTTTCAACATTTCTCCTTGGTGTCATACTCATTTAGGCACTCATCTCTCTTAAATTGCTACATCATTCTCCTGGACCTGGCTTCCATGACTTTGATCTTCATTTCAAATGTTATTAAGTACTGATTTTGTTGTGTCTCTCCCATAGTCAAGATCTAGCCACTCTTGGCCCATCTAACTTTACTTCCTTCTATTCCACACAAGCTCCTCTCTTATAGATTCTTCATATCTTCGAATACTATTGCTCATTCCCATCTTATACCTTAATTCATGCTGCCTTCAACACGTTGCCTTGTTATTATGTATCAGGGTTATCTGTAATAGATACTCTAGAAAAAAGATTAGACTTCTCTGAGTATTTTAGAGAAAGAAGTATCTGAGATATAACTACAATGTAATGGTACAGAATTACCTGCCATTCCTGCAAGTCTCCACAGAGAAACAATTTAAATCTCTGACTGTAAATGGATTAAGAATATTTACTGAGCCTTTACCATGTTGTGAGCATAGTACTGGGCTCTGGAGATTAAAAGAATAAAGAAAACATCCCTCCACTCCTTACTGTCTCCACTGCTACCTGCCTAGCTCAAGCCACCATTGTCTCACACTGACATTCCTCTCTGGGCTCCCTGCTGCCTCTCTTGCCCCTCCCCAACCCTTTCTCCACCTAGGGTTTCACAGTTGATCCTTCAGAAAGTTAAATCAAGACATGTCGCTCTTGCTTAAAGCCCTCTCATGATTTCCCATTGCACTTAGAAAATCCAGAGTTCTTACCCTATTTTGTCCTATCTTTCACTCACTCTGCCAGTGCTGCCCTTTCTATGTTTTGAATGCACTAAGCTTGTTATTGCTTTGTGACTGGGTGTACAGTCTATTCTTAAATACAGTTCCCTTGGTCTTTGCATGGCTGGCTCCCTCTTCTCTGTCATTTCTGATCTTAGTCTAATGCAAGGGTGGGGAGTGTCCGCCCTGCAGGCTGCATATTTAATCTGGCCCTGCCAAGATAACCGCTGGTGGGACTGGAAATTCAATAAATCTACGAGCTTTATTCATAGCAATATAAATTTCTATTAACTGAATTATATTAAGCAAATGACATTATAAATATCCAAATGGCCCTTGGCAGAAAAAAGGTTCCCCACTCCTGGTTTAATGGAACCTTTTTTCTGCCAACGGCCATTTGGATATTTATAATGTCATTTGCTTAATATAATTCAGTTAATAGAAATTTATATTGCTATGAATAAAGCTCGTAGATTTATTGAAATTCATTCAAGGTGTGGGGGATGAAGGGTAAAGTCGGCAAAACTACATTGAGGAGGTAACATTTGCCTTTGGTCCTGAATAATGAGTAAGGGCATATTAGAAAATTCAAACTAACTAAAAGGGAGTGACGCTGAAACCGGTTTGGCTCAGTGGATATAGCATCGGCCTGCGGGCTGAAAGGTCCTAGGTTCGATTTCGGTCAAGGGCATGTACCTGGGTTGTGGGCACATCCCCAGTGGGAGATGTGCAGGAGGCAGCTGATCTATGTTTCTCTCTCATCCATGTTTCTAACTCTCTATCTCTCTCCCTTCCTCTCTGTAAAAAAATCAATAAAATATATTTTTTTAAAAAGGGAGTGGCAAAAGATAGCATTTGCAAGTGTGGAAGTGTGTAGGGCATAGTGCGTATAGTTCAATTTAGTGAGTAGTTAAGAGTAAGCAATGGGTAGATATAATGTTGGGGCAGCACAATTGCCAGATTGTAAAGAATCATAATCACCGTGGTTAGGTTTTGAACTTTGTGTAGGAAATAGAGAACCTATTCTGTCAGCATTATGGAGGATACAGTATAGTTAAGGAACACGGTGTAGATGACTCAGAAAAGAGAAGGCCCCTAGACAGTGGGGTGAGAGACAGCGGTATAAGAGTGGTGTTCAAATAAACCATGCATTAAAGAACGTGCTTTCAGTTTAGATTTTATTATTTCACGTTATCCTTCCTAAAGGTTTATTTCCATCTATGTTTCAGAATTTGGTTGATCTTGCAGGCAGTGAAAGAGCTGCTCAAACAGGTGCTGAAGGTAATGAAAACTCATGTAGTGTTGGTCTGAATGTTTTCCTGTTTTACAGAATAAAAAGTGCTAGCATGCATTTTAGAAACTAATAACGTAATGGCAATAATAATTTTGTGATAAAGGTCTTTAATGCAAAAATCAGCTTCTGTATCGAGCTAGTTACTTCAGGCTACTGTAGCATCAATTAAAAAACTAAAACTATGCAGATGTTAGGATTGTATAGCTGGAAAGCTCCTGAGAGTACCATGAAAACCAAATCGTCATAATCAGTAAGAAAATTTAGAGAGGTAGTGGGGTACAAAATTAATATGCTGACATAAATAACTCTCATGATACAAACAACAACCAGTTAGAATATTAAGCGTACGAAAGACTCTAATTACAGCAATGAGTTAAAGGATGTAATACCTAGGATGAAACTCAACAAAAATTTCACAAGACCAGCATAAAGAAAACTTTAAAATAGACCTGAAGAACATAACCAATACTTACACAAATGGATAAGCATACTTAGATGGGAAGGTTCACAATCAAAAGACGTCAAACCTCTCTACATTAATTTCCTTCAGCCTGACATAGACACACTCAGCTGAGGGTGGCCTATATCCACCAACCAGTGAATTCTCAGACCTGTAAGTAAGAAATAAATGCTTGTTTTAAGCTGTCTTGTTAAGCAGCAATATTATAGTCATAGCTGAATAATGCACCTGAAATAACAGCTGCCAAATGAAAAAAAGCGAAGTGCAAAAGTAGTGTATTTACTATACTATTATTAGTGTAAAAAAGAAAGGGGAGAAATTAATATGTATGGACTCGTATTTATAAAAATCTCTAGAAAAATAAACTAATAAAAATGGTTTGCTGGAATGGAAACAGGAATAGGTTGAATGAAGCATAAAAGAGAGAGTTTTTTCAATGTACTTTTTTTTAATGTTTGAGTCATTTGAGCATATTAACAATTTTAAAATAAAAACCTTTTTGGTTGTGAGCCTATAGGAACTAACTTGATTGTATGTCTATAGTTGCTTGTGAGGTTTGAAAAAAATAGATTTGAACTGAGGAGTCAGAGGCTCTTTTGGGAAATGGGCTTTTCCTCCTTCTGATTCTTAGTCATTTTCCTTTTGCTAGTTCCCTCAGGTGACAGCTTTGCTGATTCATTCAGTAGGTGGGAGGAATAGGGAGAGGGCTCCTTGTACCAGTGGTATAAAAGGTGGGCTCAGATCTAGTGCAAAGCATAGACATTAGCATCTGACTCTTTTATTTCTAATTTGTCTTATAACTTACTGGTAAATAAGTTCATCATGTAGTACAGAAATCAATTTTAGTTTTCATATTTGTTTAATCAATGCAGGTGTGAGACTTAAGGAAGGCTGTAATATAAATCGAAGTTTATTTATTTTGGGACAAGTGATCAAGAAACTTAGTGATGGACAAGTTGGGTAAGATTATCCCACGGTGATTTACCTGTTAATGCTTACATTTTTCATGAGGTTGAAAATTATTATAGTTCAGTGACAAAGTGCTAATTCCTTTCATGTATTCAAAAGCTTTTGTGATTCTGTGAGCATGCATGACTTCTTATATCTATGACTACGACCAGCTAAATTAACTTATTTTAAATACTAGAGGTCCAGTGCACGAAATTCATGCATGGGCGGAGGGACGGGGGTGGTCCCCTCAGCTTGGCCTGCACTCTCTCCAATCTGGGTCCCCTCAGGGGATGTTCGACTGCCAGACATCCCTCTCACAATCCAGGACCACTCACATGCCTGCTGGCCTGATCCCCCTGTTCTCCCCCGCCGGCCTGATCGCCCTAACTCAGTGGTTGGCAAACTGAGGCTCACGAGCCACATGCGTTTCTTTGGCCCCTGGAGTGTGGCTCTTCCACAAAATACCGACTTCTGCGCATGGGCCACGAAGTTTCAATTGTACTGTACGTGCGTGCCCACACGTGGTATTTTGTGGAAGAGCCACACTTAAGGGGCCACAGAGCTGCAGTTTGCCGCCCACTGCCCTAACTGCTCTCCCCTGCTGGCCTGATCGCCCCTAACCACCTCTGCCTCCGCCCTGCCTTCATGGCTTTGTCCTGAAGGACATCCGGCAGGTTGTCCGGAAGACATCTGGTCTAATTAGCGTATTACCCTTTTATTAGTATGGATTTCGAGTCAGTAAATTTTACCTGCCCTCTTTAATCTGAAAAGAATTTATTTTTAAAGTTGTAGCTAAAGTTCTGCATTAATCAAGTAACCATTTTTGTTATATAAAAATTCTTACTCTTTTTCTTCCCAAACTCATATCTTACCTAGGGGTTTCATAAATTATCGAGATAGCAAATTAACACGAATTCTCCAGAATTCCTTGGGAGGAAATGCCAAAACACGTATTATCTGCACAATTACTCCAGTGTCTTTTGATGAAACTCTTAGTACTCTCCAGGTGAGTTGTTTTTTTTTTTTATCTCAACTTAATT